CGTTACGTACAGTAAAAGTTAGTGTAAGATTTTCATCAACCTTTTGGTGGTGTCTTCTGGTGTTGTACTGAAAAAAGCTCCCCCCTCTATAAAAAGCACCCCATCTTGGGAAGTGCAATGGTCTAATGGGCATTTTGGTTGCACTGCAACAAATGTGCCTGCTAGTCTGCTAAGGAGGGACGATGCTGATTATAAAAAAAAAAAAAAAAAAAGGATAAAGCCCAACGATCAATCGGTCTGCTTTCACTTCTTAACCTGCAAACGAATAAACCTGCGGCTAATTTAAAACTTTTCATAAGCGGAACTAAAATTAGTTTTATTGATATAATTAAATACAGAACTGTTGTTAAACTGTCAGCCTGGAAATGTTGCCTGAGAAAATACTGGGGTTTCTCGTGAGCCGTTCAGCAAAACTATCGAAGAACCATCGATATCTAAAGAAAATACCTGGACAGTTCGTTTGAAAACTGTTTTAGCCCAGTTAACACCAACTGTTTTGTTGCCACCCTAAAAACGAAGACAATTGGTACTTAAATATATATATATAATCTGCTTGTTTCAGCATCAGAAGATTGTTGTCTTCTGCGCACTCTTTAAAATGCAAAAGCCACTAAATAGCAGACAAAAACCACAGGATTTTTTTTTCCTGTCTGACCAAACATCTGAGAGGATATTAAGTTCGCTTTGATTTATTTTGGTATGACAAAAAAAGCTGTTGAAAAGGTTTTAACAGATTGTTCAAAGTTACTGACCCTCATGAAATTCCCAGCCCAATTTTTTTCTCTCTCTCTTCTTTTTTTTTCTGAGACCATTGTTCCATGACCGCTCTTGGGAATCTGTGGGAAAACAGCAGCCAAAATCAGCTAGACGGATTTCATTTATGACCAGAGATTCTGGTCCTTGTTTCAAAAGATTCATCCTAAAACCTGTTTTTACTTGTTTTATAGATATTATGAAGTTACTTTTGCTTTATAATCAGAACTACTGAAGACACACAGTGATCTCTACCAAGTCTTTCTACCTTCGGCTGTTCCCTCTTTACAGGTCACCACAGCAAGTCATCCTCCTCCATTTCTGTCCTCTGCATCCTCTGTCCTCACTCCAACTACCTCCATGTCCTCTCTAACTGCATCCATTTATATCATCTTTGGGTTTTTTTCCTGGCAGCTGCATTTCTAACATCCTTCTACCAGTATACCCACTGTCCCTCCTCTGGACATGTCCAAACCATCTCAGTCTTGCCTCTCTAACTTTATCTCCCAGTTGTTCAAAATGTGCTGTACCTCTGATGATCTCATTCCTAACCTTATCCATCTTTATCACTCCAAAGGAGAACCATATCTTAATTTCTACCACTTCCAGTTCTATCTCTAGACTTTTTGTCTGTGCCACTGTCTCCAGACCATACAACATAGCTGATCTCACAAACTGTCTTGGAAACTTTTCCTTTGACCTTTGCTGACACCGTTTTGTCACCAATCATTTTTGAAACTTTTCTCCATCTACTCCATCCTTTCTGGACTATTATTCACCTCTTTACCACACTCCCTGTTTTCCTGGATAGTAGACACTAGGTAATTGAAGTCGTGCACCTTTGTTAGTCTCACTGTTCCACCTGTCTTCCTCTCATTGACACACATGTACTCTTGTCTTATTACGATCGACTTTCATTCCTCTTTTTTCAAGTTCATACTTTCACCTCTGAGTTCTCTTCCTCCAGTTCCCTGTTCTCACCTCAGATCACAATGTCATCAGCAAACATCATAGTCCACAGGAATTCCTGCCTTTCCTCATTTGTTAGTCACAGGGAGACACAGAGACAAACGAGACAAACAACCATTCACTCTCTCACTCACACCTAGGGACAATTTAGAGTTGCCAATCAGCCTAACATGCATGTGTTTGGTCTGTGGGAGGAAACTGGTGTACCTGAAGAAAACCCACTCATGCGCATAGAAAACATGCAAACTCCACCCAGAAAGGAACCCGGCTGGGATTCGATACGGTGACTTTTTCCGCTGGCATCTCTACCAACTGTGCCACCGTGTCACATATCTGTGAATACTTTGTGTAATTTTATTCAATTTTGAATGGGAACCAACTTCACAAACAACAAAATGTTCATCATTACATTTACATTTAGCTCTGTTGTTTTCTTATTTGTTTCAATAGATGTTTATCACTGGTGAAAGTTTTGATACCTATACTGCTTTTCCATTCACAAGCATGTATGCTGTAAATGACGTTATCTCTAAAAAAAATAAAAGTTTTTTTTTTATATTTAATCCCCCCCTCCTTTATTTTTTTTTTTTTTTACTGGATCAGGAGCTCCCATATGGGTAATGTTTTTTTAGCAGCTGTTAAAATTTACCACTGACATGAGGAAGATGTATTTTTTGGTCGAATATATTCCTTTTCAAAGGTGTCAAATGACATTTAAAAGTGAGCAATAATAAAGTGACTGCCAAGTGCAGTAAACTGCTTTATGTTTCTTTTAAATACTTAAAAAAAAAAAAACTAATCGATGAAGAAACCAGGGCTGATGTGAGCCGTGGTAAATATGAGTCAAACTCCACCTGTGGTTGCACTAAAACTGAGCCTGGACTCCTCACTGGCAGGGCTTGACATTATTTTGGAAACGGCTCAGCAGGAGCAGAGCTGGAGTTCCGAAGCTGAAGCCAAAGAGTGGAATCAACCTGAAAACGTATCATTGTACAAGTGGTTTGTAATGTAATCCTGAGTTTTGTGTCCTGGTACACTTGAGGACTACAAGGAGTCTGTCAAAAATATACTGTGTTTGGTAGCAATAGATAATACAGCACGGTACACACTCGGTAGAAAACTGATACTTACAAGTTGTCAAAGTTCATGCTCAATAATCCATGATCCAAATCCAACAAAGTTTTCAGGTCTGTTGGACAGTGTTTTTTTTATTTTTATTTTTAGAAACGTTTTGTCCTTCATCCAAAGGACTTCATCAGTCCGAGAAGATGCAACAAACTCTGTCCCTTACTAAGTACTTACCTGATTCTTATGGGGTTTGAACCTGATACAGCATACGTACCTGAAATGTACCTCGTACCAATGGTGACTGGCTTGGTATGAAGCCACTTGTTACCCTGTACTAATCAGGTACATAACAAGTACTCATGGAGTATTTACTAGCTACTTAATTTGGTACCTTCCTGGTACATTCCTGGTAATTAGTAGGTATATATGGGCCTGTACCTAATAGTTACAGGACACATTCCTGAAACATGCTTGATATCTACAAGGATTAGGTTTCATTACAAGACCTATTAACCTGTACTTACTGGATACATACCTGGTACTATCAAGTACATAATAAGCATTTATGGAATATGTACTGGCTACTTTATTGGTACATTCCTGGTACTTAGTAGGTACATATATTTAACTTGTGAAGTAAATGCCTGGTATGTATCAGGTACATACATACCTGGTACATGTAGGGTTCATTCCAGGTACTTGCGTAATAGTTAATGGACAACGACATGCCCGGTACCTACGAGGAATAGGAGTATGATTGGGCTGTATTATGAAGTGACTTGTTACTTTGTTCTTACTGGGTGTGTATTTTGTATTTATGTGGTATGTACCAGGTACTTACTGGGTCTGTACCCAATAGTTACAGGACACATTCCTGAAGCATGCCTGATATCTGTGAGGATTAGGCTGTATTACCAGGAGACCTATTACCCTGTACCTACTAGGTACAAACCTGGTACTTATTGGGTATGTGCTACTTTTAGGATCTGTACTTCATATTTACTGGGTACATATCTGGTACTTAAATGACACTTCCCTGAGGCATGCCTGGTACTTACAGCTTACTGATACAGGGCGGCTGTGGCTGAGTGGTTAGAGCATTCGTCCTCCAATATAAGATTTAGGGGTTTGATTCCACCAGCAGCCACATGCCGAAGTGTCCCTGGGCAAGACACTGACCCTCTCATTGCTTCCGATGTGTGTCCCATCAGTGTATGAATGTGATCTGATTATTCTCTGTACAGGTATAGTAGAGTGCTGTATGAATGGGTAAATGAGAGCACAGATTGTAGTGTAGATCTTTGAGTTTCATGATAAAATAGAAAACCGCTATACAAGTACAGTCCATTTATCATTTACCATTCACTTTCAGAGATTAGGCTAGAATAAAAGTGACTTGCTACCCTGTACTTACGGCGTACATGCCTAGTACCTATAGGATATGTACCTTGTATTTACCAGATATTTACACAATACATTCCTTTAATGTTGGATAGAAATGACTTGAGAATTTGGAACCAATACTCTCTTACACCTACTGTTATTTGTGTTGAAAGTACCATTAATAATTTATATTTTAAATTATCCTTTCAACACAGTTAGGGTGAAGAGTTTCAACTCAGTTCTTTGTTCACAGCTTAACTGTTGTAAATGTGTCAGAGTGATAATTTTAACTTTTTAAACTGTGAACGCACACAGTCTAGCGAAGAAAAAAAAGACTCAATAGTTGATAGAACAAAATAGTCTCAGTTGGTAGACACAGGAAAAACACTGAACGCTTGGAAGTCAATTTTAGAAAATGACTGTCCGAAGCTTTCCATCTCTTTCTGTGGACTACCTACACACAGTCAAGTTTTCAGCATGTAAAACCTGGCAACGCGTGTAATTGTTTTTACTCCCCCAGCTGAGCTTTAACAGCAGGACAGTGTTGTCTCCCTCTCACCCACACACAAACGCAGACAAAAAAAGGCAACAGAAAAACAAAGTTGAAATAAACAAGCCGAAAACAAGGGCACTCGTGCTGAAAGTAAACCGTAGCTTCAATTACCGCAGCTCATATTTTAGTAAATACTTAATAAACAGTAGAATTACGAATAATTTAATGTCTAAATGCTCTTTTTAGTGGTCTCCACTTCTTTTATGGGGTTGACTGTTAACGGATATGAACATGAAATCATCTGATCACTGACTAAACGTATTTCTTTATGTTGCAGGACCTCCCGGTAAGCGAGGAAGAAGAGGCCGTGATGGAGAACTGGGTACGTAAGTTTGTAAATTGGCCCAGAGATCATGATACATGTTAATCTGGGAAAGGGTTGGAGAATAAATCAGGATGACATCAGCAGTTTTTCCTGCTTTTCCGATTGTTTTATAATGCACCGGCCAAATTAGGTGGAAGATGTCAAACTTGTGGTCTGAACTTGTTCACTTGAGATTTAGTTGCTAAAAAAAATTAAATCATTTTCTTAATAAAACAGAGTGAAAGTGCAGTTTGAAAAATAAGTGATGTCGAGTATTATTGAAGCCGACGTCTGTGTCTATACAGACTCTGTTTGGTTGCCCGCAACCGGGATTTTAAGAAATTTATTTTTATCATAGGTTAGTTATTTTAAATGTACCTCAGGTTAATGAAGTCAAATGGAGAAAACTGTTTTAAGTAAATCTAAAAGGTATAAGACAGAAAATTATCCCTCACTGCTTTGAAGCTTCAACTAATACCTTCACAATCCAGATATTTGTTTATGAACAGAATCACCGGTTGGCAGTCTAAGAGGCAGATTGTCTCTGTATATATACGCCCCTAGAATCACCATCAGTGCAATGCCTCTTAATTTGTAATGGCTACTAGCAAGCAATAGTTGTCATGAAGACCAAGGAACTCTCCAGAAAGGTCAAAGTTGTAAAGATGTATAGATCAGTGTTGGGTTAGAAAATACAAACACACCATGAAGCCTGAAAATCTCGATGCTTCAATAAATCCATTTATAGGAAATAGAAAGATGACGCACCACAGCAAACCTTCCAAGAAAGGGTCGTCCACCAAAACTTAAAAGGGGCATTAATCAGAGAAACATCCCAATCATAATTATGATGGAGCTAGGGGAGTTCCTATGCAGAAATGAGAGGAGCTAAACAACAAAGTCCATGCTCAATAATCCAGGTATACGATCCAACATTTTTCCGTCAGGTCAGTCAGAGAGGAGCTACTTTACGGTTCATTTATTGTGGACTTGCTCATCGCGGTTTTTCAAAATAAGATTGGACAAGACACACAATTGGTTGATTGATGGATGAGCCACACGATTGGCATGGAATTTTTATTTAAAATACATTTTTTTTAAATATTATATAGCACCTGTTGCATCTTTGTGCTGCCCAGAGCTGCAGAAAAAGCTTCCTCCTACACCTTTATGCTGCCCACACTGCAGGATAAACTTCCTGCTGCAGCTGATCAGCTGTTCACCGTTTAGAGCAGAGAAGTGGGTATGGCCAAGAGCGCTTGCAGATGGCAAAGAGCAGATGAGACAGTGAGCTGAAATCATGACATTCTGTGCTCTTTAAGAGCGTTTAGTTTTAGAAACATTGTTTAGAATATTGCAAGAGTGTGGGAAGGATTTAAAACATCTTTATGTATATATATATATATATACATATGTATACATGTGTGTGTGTATGTATATATATATATATATATATATATATATATATATATATATATACTTTTGTGTGTGTGTGTGTATATATACATATGTGTATGTATATATACAATACATACAATAAAATGTATGTGTGTATATATATGTAAATCAGAATCAGAATAAACTTTATTGGCATTGCACCGAGATACGAGAATATGTACGTACAGTCGTCCGAAAGATATATATATATATATATAATTAACTACTACTTGTACTTCTATTCCTACTTTGCGGTTTTTCACTTATCGCGGGTCTTCAGGGTACGGATCCCCAATGATAAATGAGGGACTACTGTATACCATTCTAAGCTGCACAGATCTGGGCTTCAAAGAATATTAGCCAAGAAAAAAAAACATTACTAAAAGCTAAAATGTTTGGCGTTTCTTTAATAAATGTGGCAGAATGGGCTATGATTGAGGACAATACCACGCCTGAGGCAACTCTACCCTCACCCTGGTGAAATTTAATCCTCTGGTACACGCTACAGTTTACTCTGATACACAAAACTCTCCTGAGTGAAGTCAACAGGTTCTGCAGCCAACACCTCCAAAACCGAAACCATGTCGCCTCACCACAAATTGAATGTACAGCAAGGACATGCGACTGACAGGGAGCTGCCACCACACTCCATTTGCCTGATGGTGAAGGTGATAATAGGCTCTGGAGCTTGTTAGTTTCTGAATACAGAGAAAAGTTTGAAACCAAAGTGTTGCTTTCGTAAAAAAATAAATAAAATAGACAGCAGACAGAGCAAAGTGTGTGTGTGTGTGTGGGGCGGGGACCGTCTGGATTGCCAGCCTGGGATTCAAACTCTGTGTCCATGATGGCAAATAAATACTGCCCAGAGCCATGACACTTGTTTAAAGTCAGAGACATGAAACCTAATTAGTTGAGGTTTGTTTCTGAGGATTAAACTTTATAACATTTTGATCTTTCCAAATAATTTTGCAGTCTTTTATGAGGCAAATTTGAAGTGATTCACTGTTCAGAGACTGGTAAATGAAGTACCAGACAGAACTTCACCGTAATGGTTGGCTGCGAATGTGACGTACCGTCAGGCTTTGTATGCGTTGAGCTTCACTCTCAAATAAACATCCATCGTTCCAGCGTATTTCAAATGGCACCATTGTGTAGAGACACTTTATTTTCTTTGCTCTCTGTTCAACCAGAACAAATGTGGAGAATGTGAATTGACTTCCTCTTGACAAATCAATCGGAAACAAGCAAACGGTTGTAGCCACTCATGATGTCTGGCCTGGAGAGGCTTGGTGGTCTATTGAGAGAAGAAAACAAGAATTTACTGAATTGCCAGGCGTCTGTGTTCTGTGGTTACAACTTAGCTTTCTAACGTAGATGAATGATGCCGACAGAAGACGTGCTTAATCCTTGTGAACAGATCAGAACATCCGAAGTAAGTTTTCAAAATATTTTGAACGCTGAGGGGTGGCGTCCAATCCATGATTCACTTGAACCAAAGTTACCGTCTCTAAAAGGCAGGAGGAAGCCTTTACCCAGACGTGAAGGGAAGTGACGGAAAGACAAATAGGAACATGACACGGCGACGTTGACCGATGCGTTAAAAAAATGAATGAAATACTTCATTAGGATTTCCAGGGACACGTGGAAAGGAAAAATGTGGCATGTCTGTTCAGGATGAATAGTTGGGGTTTTTTTAAGAAGGAAACACCGCAGTGCCAAAATACTCTAGCGCTTGGTCAATTCTGGGACATGTCAAGGGTTTCCTTAAGTATTTCTTCTCGTATGGATAATCAAGGCTTGTTGGGTGTCTGCGCTCACAAAATAAGCAATTGATGTTCAAACTGAGCATCTTAACCTTATAGTGATGCAGCAGGGTCAGGTTTTTATAGAACAAACTTTTCTTTACATGATGTCTTTTGGGGAAGAAAAGGCACCGTTGAAGGTCTGGGACAGCTCTTTGTGCCATCTTAAAGCTTGACAACGTCCTCAGCCGTAGGAGCAGGGGTATAAATCTTAACGTTGAACTTGTAAGAGGTAAAAACCAAATGTCTTTTCTCACAGCTAATGCAGCTGGTTACTGTTGAGCCAAAAGCTAAAGACCTGCTATCTGCTGGGTTCTTGGGAGGACTAAATTGAGCCAGCAGAGTCCTTTGAGCAGAAGTAATTGGGGAAATCGTGTCACCTCACAAAACCGTTTGAGAATTTTTAACAAGCACCCAAAACCACGATGCAATAAAATCAGAGCCACTTTAAAATGTGACTGCCAGACCTGATGCCTGTTGTTTCCCCATGGGTGGAAAATGGATAACGGGTTTTTGTATTATACGTCACAAGTCTTTATTTTTTGTTAAATGGGAAACCACTAACTGTGCATTCTTTTCTTTTTCTTTCAGGACCTCCTGTAAGTATTCCTGGTTCATTTCTTCATTTAGGATACCCCATTGAAGGTAAAAACTCATAGGGCACTCGTAAAGGCAAACCTTACAAGATGAAGGGGTCCAGTTGTAAACTTGGTGAACAAGCAATAGTATACAACAGTAGTCTTTCTTAGACAAGTCTTACCACGCACTACAAATAGGTTATAACGATGCATGATATTGGATTTTTGCTGATATGTTAACTTATTTGGCCGATACCGATATTTTTAAAATACTTTCCTTTGTCAGAACATAGCCCTCTTATTTGGGCTTGTTTGCTACAAAAATTGCATAACAGCTGTAAGAGCTGATGACATATGTTCAGTAACAACCATACTGTATGATATGCATAGCACTCTAACTTATATTAAATGAAAAGTGTTAAATGTTGTTTGTTAGCATTACTCACCTGCGAGGCTGTCTCACTTGTGGGGGCTTGTTCCAGGCTCCTAGCTGCAGTGTGGGATCCTCTGCACTCCTGCGCATGAAGGACAGCCTTTTTAAGATCAAAGTTTTTGTCTATCCGTTGTGCCTAAGACTAATCATGCTAACGGGGCTAACACTTGACGTCCAAATATCTGTGGTAAAACTCACCCAAGTGCTATCGGCTATTAGCTTCTCAATGAGGTCAGAAGTGGTTTGCAGCAGAGTGCGACGCAGCCGGGATGAAGATCAGTTCCTCCAAATCTGAGGCCATGGTTTTGAGCTGGAAAAGGGTAGAGTTCACTCTCCGGGTCAGGGAGGAGGTCCTGCCCCAAGTGGAGGAGTTCAAGTATCTTGGGGTCTTGTTCACGAATGAGGGAAAAATGGAACGCGAGATCGATGGGCAGATAGGTGCAGCGTCTGCAGTGAAGCAGGTGCTGTACAGGTCTGTCGTGAAGAGAGAGCTGAGTCAAAAGGCGAAGCTCTCAATTTACCGATCGATCTACGCTCCTACCCTCATCTATGGTCATGAGCTTTGGGTTGTCACCGAAAGAACGAGATCTCTGATACAAGTGGCCGAAATGAGTTTTCTCCGCAGGGTGTCTGGGCTCTCCCTTAGAGATAGGGTGAGAAGCTCGATCATCTGGGAGGGACTCAGAGTAGAGCCGCTGCTTCTCCACGTCGAGAGGAGCCAGTTGAGGTGGCTCGGGCATCTGTTTAGGATGCCTCCTGGACGCCTCCCTGGTGAGGTGTTCTGGACACGTCCCACCGGGAGGAGACCCAGAGGAAGACCCAGGACACGCTGGAGGGACTATGTTTCTCAGCTGGCCTGGGAACGCGTCGGGATTCCCCCGGAGGAGCTGGACCAAGTGGCTGGGGAGAGGGAAGTCTGGGCCTCCCTACTTAGGCTGCTACCCCCGAGACCCGACCCCGGATAAGCAGAAGAAAATGGATGGATGGATGACATCGGAAATGACGGCTTGTAACTTGAGTAAGGCTACGTCAGAAAAATATCTCAGACTGGGGACGATGTAGCGAGCTCAACGTAGTCCAAAAATCTTCCAAATCCGACATTCTCACCAATGAAAAAACCTCCCACACCACCGACATTTTGAATTTTCCTCTCCGCCGTGAGATCAGGTAGTCAGTCGCACGTGACATCATGTTGTGCTGGTGCTGCAGGCATCCTTGTCATTGGGTTGTCATACAAAAACAGCGTCTTTTATATTGGTGAGTTATTTTGATGGAATGGCCGATGTTCGATATTTAACTTTAACGCTAATATTGTCCAATACCGATACCATGCCAATAATATTGTGCTTCCCTAATAGGTTGGATTATATTAATCTGCTGAATCATTTAAGAGTCTCACCATTTCTTCATATTTGCTGCATTCTGAAGGTTTTAGGGCCAAAACCTTGAGGCAGGGGTTATGTAGATATCAGCACACTTGTGAGAACTATAAAAATGTACAGACATCTCGGTTTGCTGTCTCGTTCCTCTTTGCGTCTTTTCTTGGCTGAGTCTGAACCTTGTGTGCACAAGTTCAGCAATGATAGAATGGTGGAGGTGATTATGTGTGTTTTAGAAGGTAAGCACTCCAACAAGAGAAGTGATTAAATAAGGTTTTATATCTTTGGCTGACAGCTTTGTTATGCAACTCGTTCAGCTTGGGTTTCGCTTGACTTTATCGTTTGCTTGAACTGTAAAGCAGAATTAACCTGAGCTTGGAGCTTCAAACTTGAACTTACTTACCATTTAATGTCTGTACTTGTTTAATCATCAAACTGATGGAGTTTAATGCAACTTTTAGACTTGACTCGTTTTATTATTACAACGATTGGCAAGGAAGTTTGTTAGCGAAGGTGAACATTTTCATTAATTCCTCAAGACACTGACTTTACTGCTTTAGAACTGTATCACCCACCACCATGAACCTATATCTGTGTGTTTGTTTGTCTGCCTGTTGGCAAAATATCCCATAAACCGCTGAAGGAATTTCAATGAAACTCTCAGAAAAGAACCATTTAATTTACATCTCCAAATGAATAATTGTTCAAGTTGGACACCACAACTAATTGACCTAAGCAAATACATAAATGTCTACAGCTCCTTTTTTTAAATGGCAAATAAGCTAAAACTTGGTGTGGTAGTAGGTATGAGTAAGGGGATTTGGGGGTGCAGAGGTTAGAGAAGGCAAGCCTGTGATCAAAAGGATTCAATTCAATTTCAATTCAGTTTATTTATATAGCGCCAAATCACAACAAAGTTATCTCAGGGCACTTTACAGAAACATTCACATACATAAAAGCCAATTAGTAAAGTTCTCTATCTAAGGAATCCAGCAGACAAGTTGAATCTTGGCTTCGTTGCAGTCTCCCATCCTGAGCAAGCACAGTGGCAACAGTGGAAAGGAAAAACTCCCTTTAAAAGGAAGAAACCTCCAGCAGAACCAGGCTCAGGACAAGCGGCCATCTGCTTTGACCGGCTGGTTGAGAGGACAGGAAGGAGAGACAGACAAACACAGAATGGTAGGTCCAGGTATAGGTCCAGTTGTACCTGAAAGACAAAAAAAAACACATGTTAAGGATAGAAAAAATAATTACATATGCAAAACAGGTTGAGCAGAGTAAGTAAAGACGGTAGTAGAGTGAAAATTGTGGTCAGTTTGTCCTCCAGCAGTCTAAGCCTATAGCAGCATAACTAAGGGACAGCTCAGGAAACCCAAGCTGACCCTAACTATAGGATTTAGCAAAAAGGAACGTCTTAAGCCCAGTTTTAAAACTGGATAATGTGTCAGCCTCACGGACAGAGATTGGAAGTTGGTTCCACAAGAGAGGAGCCTGATAACTGAAAGATCTGCCTCCCATTCTGTTTTTGTAAATTTGCGAGACGACTCAGCATGAGGGAATCGTTGGAGCGCTACCTCTAGCTTTTTAGTTAGCTCGTCTGTATTGTGCGCTGCTAGCTTAGTGCTATTTTGGTGTCAGTGCCAGCAGTTGTCGATGGGCGGGTGTTGATTCGGGAGGCAGGGCGTCTTGCTTGTATAACGATAGGGGAAACACTGCCCTGGCCCTAATTTGTTATTACAAGCTGGGGATTCAAAATTTTTTGTAAGGTAAACCATTTTCACCTGCCAAAATTCCATGCTCAATAATCCAGGTATAAAATCCAACAATTTTCAGTCAAGTCATCTGAACGGTTTCTTTTTTTTTTTTGTGCTGAGATGTTTCACCTTTCATCCAGAAGGCTTCATCAGTCTGAGGAAACAGTAAACAAAACTGATTCTTCCCCCAACAGCTTACTCCAAAGTGCAACAAACTAGTTATGTTGGTGCTAAGATGGTCTCTGGGGCACGCGCTCTCCTTCGGTGCCCTCCCTCTCCCTCATTGACAGTCATGTCAAACTGGTTCAAAACACCAAAAGTCCATGCTCAATAATCCAGGTATAAAATCCAATTTTCGGTCAGGTTATCTGGACGATTTCTTTTTTTTTGTGCTGAGACATTTCGCCTTCCATCCAGAAGGCTTCATCAGTCTGAGGCGTGCCCCATAGACCATCTTAGCACCGACATAACTGTTTTTTCCCACTTTGGAGTAAGCTGTTGGGGGTGAAGCAGTTTTGTTTAGCGTTTCCTCAGACTGATGAAGCCTTTTGGATGGCACGCGAAATGACTCTGTACCAAAAAAGAAACCATCCAGATGACCTGACTGAAAATTGATGCATTCACACCAGCCTTCCCCTTCATTTGCTCCAATTTGGGCCCTTGAGCAAAGCTCTTAACCCCAACCCCACTAGCTGCTCCGTGGGCATCTTAAATAGAAACCCTCTCCTACACACATGTGGGCTAAAGTAGCTCGGTATTTGCGTCAAGAAGGACATCCGATGTAAAAACAAGTTCGCTGGCTATGGTGAATCCAGCCAGAAGAAAAAGGAAAAGAAAAAAGGTAGCCAAGAGTCATCCTCAACACAGATCGGGAACTAACAGACCACGAGAGTTTTTCTTTAAAACTTACATTCAAGTCAGTTTTTTATTTCCAGATAAGAGCGGCTTGTTTTTATTTGGGGGGGGGGGGGGGGGGATATAATGAAATCCCGTGGTTGATTCTTTCACTTACAATTATTTTGAATGGCTCATTGTGACCGGTTTTCTTGCAGAAATATCAGTAGTCAAAATATATCATCAAAACTACGTAATCCCATTATTGCTGCCTTTCACAAATGGAGAAACTCATACCTGATCTGTACAGACCGCTGTTTCATAACATTCCTGCTTCCTTCATACCTCCCTGCCAGCTCCCAGAACCTGCAGAGATTATCTCACCTCATTACGCTGCCTGGCGATCACAGATCCACTGCTCAGAACAGATGGAAAACTTCAGTCCCCCAAAGATGAAGAGAAACGCATACAGACACATAAACAGCAGGGTTGTGACAGTTTGTTTTATGGTCTCGTCGAATGGGCACTGCGTGTCTGCATACATGTGTGCAGCTTTCTTTATAGCCCAGAGGCAAGCGTGGCTGGATAGGTATAATAGCGTGTGCCGGCTGAGCTGTAAAA